AGAAACGGTGGGAAGAAGAGTAGTGGATGGAGATTGTCGAAGACGCGAGGAAGGCAGAACTCCAAGGTGACATCGGGACGCTGTACAAGACGCTGAAGCGTATTGGAATCAGAGACAACTGCACCTTTGAAGACGAAACATTCAGCCCCGAAGAGTTCCGAAGTCACTTTATGAAAGTATCAGAGAACAGATACGAAAGGGGACGAGACGAGATCGTTAGGACCATGGAAGAGATCCCCGAACGCACCGACCAGACAGCACTAGAAGCGGCCATTGAACTGGAGAGAGTGGTCACGTGGAGCGAGTTTGAAACAGAGTTGGCCAAGATAAGGGATGGAGCACCAGGGAACGACGGAGTTCGGATGCTAGCAGTAAAGGTGGCCAGCAAACTAATTAAGCAGGAGCTCCACAGGATGATTGGGCAGTTGATAGACATGAAACCGGAGGACTGGCCAGAAGAAATAAAGGAAGGCTGGGTCATTCCCCTGCACAAGAAAGGTCCCAAGAACGACCTGGGCAACTACCGTGGAGTGTGCCTGTTACCACTGGCGAGCAGACTGATCGCACGTATCCTCGCGACGAGACTCCGGACATGGGCAGAAACCATTGGCGCTCTGGACGAGAACCAGAACGGTTTCCGTGGTGGAAGGTCTACGGCTGACTCAACGCAGATCATTATCCGGATGGAAGAAGAAACAAGAAGAGTGTACGGGATGACAGACGAGTGTAACGAGAACCGGCCAGGGGCTGTCCTCCTAGACATCACCAAGGCTTACCCTCGCACCAATAAACCCCTTCTGTGGGGTATGTTAGCCAGATTTGGCATGACGGACAAGGTGCTCGATCTGCTGAAAGGTCTCCATGAAGAAACGCGATACCGGGTGAAAGGAAAGGAAGGTCTCAGCGATGATTGGGCCCCAGCCAGAGGACTCAGAGAGGGGTGCGCAACATCACCTATCCTTTTCAACGTATATCATGCCGAAGCAATAAGAAGAGCGGAAAGAGAAAGGAGAAAGGAGGCGGCGGAGAGAGGTCAAGAGTGCGGTCTCACCTGGAGGTGGACACCAGGAGGCAGCCTCCCACCGAGAGAAGGGCCCAGAGCATTGCATAGCAGCAACAAGTGTAATTTCATCCTGGAGGACTCGTTGTTCGCAGACGACACCTCTCTACTTGGTTGGACCGAAGAGCTCGTCATAGGGAAAGAGGTGATCAAGAAGAAAATGATGGAGTTTGAAGAGAAATGCCACGACGGCAAAGAAGAATCCATCACTTTTGCAACTACCAGCGCCCAGAAGACTAGAATGCTGGGAACGCTCATCGGGAAACGAGAAGACCGAGGAGCCAGGATCAAGAGAGGGTACCACGCGTGGAGCAAGGTGAAACAATGGCTCTGGAATTCGAGCCTCTCCAAGCGCACCAGAGCATTGGTGGTCCAAGCCGTAGTGGAGTCCACTCTCCTGTTTGACTGTAGCGTCAGAGCATGGACACCGACCGACATCCAGAAGTTCCAGAGCGTTGCAGACAGAGCCTACAGGTTTGTGTGGAACAATGGAAAACCTCACACACTGATAAGGATGCAGAATGAAGGAGTCAACAGCTACGAGATCCGCAGACAGTTGAACATTGAATCGATAAGGACTAAGATCGAGTGCAGAGCATTAGAGCGAATGGGCCACGTTCTCAGAATGTCGGATGAGAGGATTGTGAAGAAAGCCGTGCTCGGATCCTGGGACATGGAGAGGACACGTAGTGGGAACTCGCGAGGCAACACCATCCAGTACTGGCGCAGACTGCTGAAAGAAGCGGGACACGAAGACGACAACAGCGAGAACCTCACCAATGACCGGAAACGATGGAAGAAGACCGTTACAGATCGCAGGACGTTCCTCAAAAACTGGGAGACGCAAATGTGCAACTGGCACAGAGGATCGGAAAAACCGGCCCGCTCACAATGGAATAGAGAGAGAATAAGTGACAGCGGTTGGCCTTGCCGCTGGGACGGATGCGACAAGATGTGCGCAACAAAAGGAGGACGGACGAATCACGAGAGAAAAGCACACAGAAGGGAGTCAGTGGACTACAAGTGTCCAAAGTGCAACGACAGTTTTTCGGACCAGGCTGCTCTGACAAACCACTTCAAGGCGTGCCAAGGAGGGCAGGGTGGGTTCTGTCCGAAGTGTCAGAGGTCCCTGTCGTTGAGCAACATGGCAAGACACCGGAGGACCTGTCGAGGAGAACACCCGACAGCCCCAGAAGTAACCAACGCCATTATCACAGGACGATTCGCCGGAACGAGAGCCAGAATCCAATGCGAAGAATGCGGTACTTGGGTGACAAAAAACAACATTTCAAGACACTGGAGCACATGTCCTGGAAACTGGGAATCAAGGCCCCCCACGGGGCGTAAATGACAAAAGAAGAAGAAGAAGAAGAAGATGATGATGATGATGATGATGATGATGATGATGATGATGATGATGATGATGATGATGATGATGATGATGATGATGATGATGATGATGATGATGATGATGATGATGATGATGATGATGATGATGATGATGATGATGATGATGATGATGATGATGATGATGATGATGATGATGATGATGATGATGATGATGATGATAATGATGATGATGATGATGATGATGATGATGATGATGATGATGATGATGATGATGATGATGATGATGATGATGATGATGATGATGATGATGATGATGATGATGATGATGATGATGATGATGATGATGATGATGATGATGATGATGATGATGATGATGATAATGATGATGATGATGATGATGATGATGATGATGATGATGATGATGATGATGATGATGATGATGATGATGATGATGATGATGATGATGATGATGATGATGATGATGATGATGATGATGATGATGATGATGATGATGATGATGATGATGATGATGATGATGATGATGATGATGATGATGATGATGATGATGATGATGATGATGATGATGATGATGATGATGATGATGATGATGATGATGATGATGATGATGATGATGATGATGATGATGATGATGATGATGATGATGATGATGATGATGATGATGAGGATGATGATGATAATGATGATGGTGATGATGATGATGATGATGATGATGATGAGGTTGGTGATCTTTTTGTTCAGGATTCAGAGGAAGAACTCCTATAGATAAAAGTCGTGAGGGTCCTATGAGCAACCTTTATACGGCAACAGTGTTCATCAGATTATTGCTAGATATTTCTACCTTTTGGACGCAACTTCTGATATCTCTGGCAGTGGCATTAGAACGTTTTGTTAATATTTCATTGGGCGCTGAAGCCAACAACATCATGAGACCATCTCGACGGAAAAAGTTTTATGCTGCCATTGGCATTGCCTGTTTGTTTGTCCCTGTCGTCATTTTTATCGATTTCGTTATCAATATGGAACAGGTAAAATAAAATCTTGGTAAATTGTTTGATGCATGGCTGAAATACTATGGTTTGATTCAACTGATGTTTGAAGTTGAGTTCGATTATTAATTCGGTTTTTGGGATGTTTTAAAAATTAGTGTGAGCTTCAATTTCGTTTAAAAAAAGTCGAGTACAACCATTCAAAGATAAAGAAAAATGCTCGCAAACTCCAAAAGTAAGACAAAGAAACAAAGAAAACACAAACTCTTAAGTTTCTCTTAAAAATGATGTTTTTTCAGTTTTGCAACTTTAATTGTATCTTAATCTCAACAATACGCGTGTTTCATTTCTATAAGTTTCAATTAAAACATGTTTTTAGTTCAAACCAGCTACAATTTTTACATAGTTCCTTTCCTGTCAATCCTCAATTTTTTTAATACCTGATACCTACTTTTATACTAAAATTGTCAAGTATATTCATTTGGTATTCAACTTTCCAACTACAATTCATATGTATTTGTTTTTTAATTAAAAAAATAATTCTTTGTTTTAAAGTATTTTTTATAACTTGATTAATCTCACTGTAAAAAATTATTCTCATTGATTATTCTCACTGTAAAACTAACCAATATACTAAAAACGATAAGTTATGAAGAATGTTTTTAGTTACAGTCAAAAAATTCATTAAAAAAATTGAAATCAGTTGCTTTCTTCTCTCCTCTAATTTTGCGATAAACCAGTATATTGGAACCTGATCTAAACTACATTTTATTATTGGATAAATTAGATATTGTACCACTGTAAAATATTTATTATTAACTAATCATAATCCATCCAACTAACAACCCACTTATTTGTAAGTGCTGAAATTACTTGTAATTTCAGCACCAGAGATATTTGAATTTAACTTAGAAATTAGTTGCCTCTCCAAGCGAACCAAAAAATCGTAAGGATTAACAGGATTAAGGAAAATCAAAAATCACTAATAACTTCTTGCATCCCTCATCCTAAACCTTATGTCATTCAAAAATTTAGGAATTAAACAAACAATCGTTTTACACAATTGTGAAATAGACAACCAAAAGTACGATCTTGTAATCGTATTTTTGGTTGTCTATTGTAATCGTATTTTTGGTTGTAAAGGGATACAGAATGTATCCAACTGTATACACAAACAGTTGAATACATTCGAACAAAACGACAAACAATAAAAAAGAAAAATTATAAGCAAACAAAGACAAATAACCCGAAAAAGAGTTTCGAAAAGCAGAAACGCATTCTCCGAATCAGAAGCCAGTAGTTTAGACGAATTATACAAATTAAGAGAATCAATAAATAAAAATTGCCCCATCCATGATCAATTATATTTTTCCGATTCAGAAACAACTTCAAACTCATCAAAAAGAGGAAAAAGAAGAATAAAAAGCAGTATAAACACAAACCAGTACACCTAAAAAATTGGAATCAACCAATTAGACATATTGATAATTATATATTAACAGTCATAAAACGAAAAAATGAGCCACACTCAAAGTGAAGAATGTCCGGATGAAGAAGCAGTTTTTCCCTTTCTTATAGATTCACTTAATGATAGAGGACAAACACGATTTTGTAAAAACTTACTCGTATATTTGTTTGAACCAGGAATCAGTCCATGCAAAGCAGATTTCCCGGATGTAAAAATCAAAAGACAGATTGTAGAACATTATTTGAAAGACATATGTGACCTAACACAACAATACGGAACCTACACCATAGAATTCAGCACACCACGAACAGCTCATGGTAAATATGCAATCCAAACAGACGATATTGATTTAGAATTTTCAAAAGTTTTCATAGAAAATATTAAAAGTATACAATATCATAATTCACAAAGAGCAAACTCCATATTCACTAACGAAGTTTTTGAAAAAATATATAGTTATAGATCTATATTAGAAAAGACAGAAGTTCAAAGTACGTCACCAACCCAAACATCTAAACATACAAAAGTAAGAAACAAAATCACAGTATTTTCAACATTTTTACATATAATCCGCGAAAATTTCACCCAAAATGATGTCTCACAAAACACTAAACTTGATTTACAAAACATTTTAGCTTGGTTTATAATAGATTATTTTACCCACAACCTAGATTTAATTGCACAAGCAAGAAAAAATGTTAGTCCCCAAAATACGAATGACGACACTGTCATTGCAGAACAATCAGATTACGTTTGGGACCCTGAATGATCTCATCCAGCATTTATAAATATTCCACAAGATATCTCAAGTCAAGCCATTATTGTAATATCTTTTCACAGAGATTATGTAAAAGTAAAACCATTAACGATTGACGCAACACCATTAAATTATATTATATTTTTACCTGATACACGAAATAACAGCTTAAATTCAACAGTCATACAAAATAAAAATTTCATTGGAACCAGAAATCTTACACAGCAAGACATTCAAACACCATCACACTTCATAAATGAAGAAATCGTCCAAACAACAGTAACAACGATTCTGCTTCTCTTCTCTCAAGAATCCTCCTGAGTCGATCTTCTACGGGACCACTCCTTTTATCCCCAGGGGTGTCCACTGATAGGGGTGATGGCGTCGCTGGACCCGTTTTCTTATACTCTGTCAGAGCCACATACAATGGGCCTGCTGCATCCAGCTCCTTTCCCTCCTGTCTCATTTCCACCTGCTCCAGTCCGTAAGGTGCCCGGTACCTCCTTGTGGCAAACACCATTTCGTCTCCTTTCAGTGCGATGTGTCCTTCATTCACGATAATCCTGCCATCGTCCCACACCGGCAACTTGTTCTCTAGACCTGCCCGCTCACGTGTTCTCAAGGCATCTCGTACCTCGAATTTTGGGGGCATAGACCTTCTCATTTTCTTGGCTTGAGTTGTCCATGAATTTATTTTTGCATCGCTGGTATGAAAATAAATCGCTGCAGAGTAGCCGATGAAGAGAGGATCCCAGCCGTCGATGAACTCCTTCTGCTGTTCTTCAGAAGGAGTTCATTGTTATAAGAATTGTTATAAGACTAAGAAGATGTAAAAACCTATCCGGTCAAAGATTATATGAATGCCGAATACATTTAAAGTAAACCTTAGTTAAATATGAATATATGATGGATTTGGTTTGAACCTATGACATCTCTTGATCCTGGATATAATGTTTTGATTTAAAACAACTGATTTGTTTTGAAACCAATTATCGCTCTGAGCACTTTCAATTTAAAACTTACACTTACTTCTTTGCTTAAGGCCGATCAAACAAATTAACTAGATTGCAAGAAAAATAGTTTTAATGCATTCAGGTTGCGTAAATTGAATCAAAAGAAACAAAAAAAAGAAACTGTAATTTTATTCATCAATAGCATAACTCCGCACGCCAAATATGAACAGATTTGGACTCTTCGGTTGGAAATTGTTGTCAATCAGCGCGTAATCTATGGGCCAGCAGAGCATTGCATACACTCCAAGATTAGAAGGCCCAGGTAAAGCTGACGCCTGATGCTCAGCGACTTTTCTGTAATTATTTTAGCTACCATTAAAGCAGTCGATAGAAAATAAATAACATAGTCACACTGGGTGACTTGAGCCAGTGCAGCTATGTGAATCTAGCAATGCATACGCAGACACCTCAAACGAGATGTTTGGCAATTTGAAGATTCGTAGCAGAAAAGTTTCTGCGATCTAAGAAGAACTCGTTTTGTTTATTGTACGAGCATACCATGAAAAACTCAATTTGTGGATTGGTAAACTTCTATGGAAAAATGACTTCAGTTTTTGCGGCCCTTATGCTCACGTTCAATGGCTGATAGAGTCAAGAATTTCAGTAGGCTCAAAAACACGAAGTGGTGTTTTCAAGAAAACAAACCAACACTGTGCTCAAATTGAAATGTGCAACCTTAATCAACAGTGATCACCCTTACCACGGAACAAGCAGTTGGTGGGAATCCTTCACTACCACGTCATCTAGGGATCTAAATTTCAAAGAAACTATCAGCAGCCCGAGCCGATACAAAATATTTCAATGTGGACAGTGCCTGGAGACAATGTTGGGAACTGAATCACGTTATAAGGGGGAAATTGAATTATTGACAAAAGACAAAGTTATAGAAAAAAATGTCAAATAGAAGGCTTTATCTACCGAGGTGTTTTGTATTTAAAACCGCAAGCGATCCAGAATGCATGTGATGGATGATGCTCGCAAGCGCGGAAGATAAGAATCCGAAAGTTTTTGACGTGTCCTTGTAACAAGAAGTGGAGCAACTTCTCAACAAGATCCAAATTGCATGAAATTGAAACAACAAAAAAAAAGATTGAAATAGAAATCCTACTCACTGTTAGGACTAGAAAGCATGTCAATTTTAATGCATTTCTTCTTATTAATGATAATATAAAACAGAAAAAAATTTTTAAAGTTTTTGTAGGTACTAAATTGTCTCTCTTTTTTTGGTGAATTGAGGCTCAAATTTAGGCACACACAGTTGCTCAGTTGAAAATTGCTTTTGCAAAACCAAAAATCAAACAAACGAAATACTAGTCAGTTGCTCAGCTAATAAATCAAAACTAGATCGAAGCAAAAATTGTTTTCGGTTGTGTTTGAATTATCAAGTTTCGACAACAATGGACATCTCAGAAAGACACATCAGCTGCGCAAAATCTTGTTTTTTTTTGAATAAATACAAATTTTTCAAGCTTAGCACAAAACAAAAAGCAAAGGCAAAAATTTTTAACAGTGAGAATATCATTTTGAAACCTTATATCAAGAGTTTTTTTATGTTAACTGAACACTAATAGAAATATTCAAATTGAAGATGTATTATAAAGTTAGTCTTTCATAAAAGAAGTTAGCTGGTTATCTATATTTCGTTAGGGGTTGTATCTACGTGACAAAGAATCTTCTCGAAGATGTTGTTTTTCAAATTTTAACCTTAAAATTGAAATTTCTCAAGATAAATCTTCTCTAAAACCTGAATTTAGAAAAAAAATTCTCCAAAGTTTAAAGCAGTTCCGCTGAAATTTCCTTG